TAATTATTTTTCTTTACATTGTACAGGAGTCATCTGAAACAGATATCATTAAAGTGCAAAATATTTGAAGAAAATCGGTTATTTGTACGGCGCCACTAATTCGAACTTACAGCATTATTTCTTTTTTACTCAAAACGCATATCACTAGATAGAACGCAGTGCGTTGACCAAGAATATGACCTTTTGTCTTCCCGGCGGAGTTCTGACGGCAAAAAATTCAAAATACTACGATATCAAAAGTTGACAATCCGTTTCGTGATGAAAAACTGCATCAATTCTTTTGCTTTGTATTTCTAACTCTTACGGTTATGTTTTTCGAATTCTCTGTATAAAATCACGTATAAAAATAGTATTAGAGCTTCATCGCATCCGTAAACTAAAACTTCGTGCTATCATATATCTCGAATGGCACCAACATTTTTGGCAAGGATATCTATTTCTACTTTTCTCCCCTTAAATGAATGTTACTTAAAGTATTTTCCAAGAATGGCTATATTAATTTCTTATTAAATATAAATATCGAATATTTAAAGCAAAATGGAGATCAAAAATTAAATAAATGAATGAGTCACGTTTCTCACCACTTCTCTAGTAAAGGCAAAACTTAAAACTGGGGTGTTGTAACTTTGTTCTGCGCTTCACTGCGGTTCCAATGGCATAAAATTCAAGGCTTCATCTCTTAAGGAAAAAAACACTTGATGCTTTTCTGAGTGAAGGGAGTCGTTTTTGGATCCTACCAGGAACGAATTTGTTTCAAACTCTAAAAGAGCTGTGGTGAACTTTAAAACCACATTTTCACATTCTCCTTGGGACGTCCAATCTCATAAAAGGTTTCAAAGGTTCAAAATGAGACGGTGGAAAACTGGAGGCACTTTTCTGAGCGGTTTTTCCGTTTAGAGCACCCTTTTCGTATTCGCGATTTTCATCGAGAATGAAAGGTCATAAAGCAAAAAAGTGTCATATTCGAATTTTGGTCGTATCAAAATGTGTCTGTTAAAGTCAAAACTAAAACACTACTTAAAGTTTGAATTACGTGCGGACTTTTCCCAAAAAACAAATGGGAAAACAACATTAAATTTTGGGATTGAATACTGTGTCATGTTTTTCTCAAAATGTTTCTTTTTAGTGCAGCGATCAATTTGTACTGCGTAGATTCTACAAACGTTAAACTTTTCTTTTGCAAACAAATATTTCTCTGCAGAGAGATTTTCCGACGGTAAAATCGGACGGAAAATGTTTTTCAAAAAAAACGGTTTCTCCGAAAGACTTCCGAGACACCTGCTTGTCTGTACTAAAAGTGTCAGTCGGATCGGTCGAAACTTCAGTGCATACGAAAGCAGCGCATTTTTGTCTAGTAACTACAAAGCGGTTGTAAAATTAACTAATGATACGACGAACATAATGATACGATTCTTATCAGTTTTTTATATAAGATTGTTTAAGGTTTCCCATCGACGGCTTCTTGTAAGAACCTTACGGCTTGTCCAGCTAACGGCTAAGCTCCCTCCGTTTTTTGCTTTTTTTCAAAAAGTTATTGCAATAAAGCTACAAACTAATCTAAACTGGCAACTAGGTGATTAAGTAGATTAAACATTTCTCTACCATATGAAAAGTGTCTCGGCTCACGTGTCTAAAAGAGTGAAGAAGAGCTGGTAAAAATTGAACAAGTATACCAGTTTATAGAAAATTGTTTGCTCTACAAGATATGACAGATTGTCAAGTTCGAAACTATTCTAATTAATCTATATTAATCAAAGAAAAACCAGAAAGACGGTAAGGCTGAAAAATGGTCAAAAGTGTTTTCTTTGATTAACAGGTTAATTAGAATAGTTTCGAACTTGTTGTTAGCTATCACATCTCGTAGAACAAACAATTTTCTACAAGCTGGTATACTTGTTCAATTTTTACCAGCTCGTCTTCACTCTTTTAGACACGCTTTTTAGACAGCCCAAAAATCGACTTTTGGGCTGTCCAAAAAGCGATAACAGCTGTATTTTCATAATGAATCAATGTTCAGAGCCGAGACACTTTTCATTTTGTAGAGAAATGTTTAATCTACTTAATCACCTAGCTGCCAGTTTAGTTTGTAGTTTTATTGCAATAACTTTTTGAAAAAGAGCAAGGAGGTCGTTAGCTAGACAAGGCAACTATAAGAGGTTCGTATGAAATTTATAAGAAATACCAAAAATTCATGTTATTCTTATTTACTAGAAGGCAGCTCATGACTTGGCTTTGCTGGTTTCTGTTATGATTAAGTTGCTTCTATTGGCTAGAAAACTTAACATAAGAATTTTTGATCCTTCTTATTAATTTCTTAGGAATGTCTTATGAAAATCTTGTAAGACACTTACTGTCGATGGGAAATCTCATATAAGAAACTGATAAGATTCTTCTAAGGCACTAGTAAGATTCTTATATAAGAACCGATCTCTAGGGTAAAATTTTGTTATTTATCTAGTGAATGAAATAAGCTACGACTTTAAAAACGTTCATGTAGGCCACGTTGAATCGACTACAGGAATTCTATACGAGTGCATTTTTCTTCTTCTCAGTTCTTCACAAAAGAAACTTTTAAAGGTTTTACTCGTCAAATTCGCGAAGAGAGAGCTATTTAACAGACACTGCAGACTTACAGACGCTGCTTTGACATAATTATTTTCACAAACATCCGTCTTATCTTTGTTTCTTGATGATAAATATTTTTGAACAAGTGCACCAACTGCTAAACCTAAACAGAAAAAAAACAAAGAATAAAAGAATTCTTGTTTGAAAATATCATTCATCAAAACTTACTTAGTGCACTAACAACAAGTGGGTTTTTCAACAATTCTTTCACTTTGGAATGTTCAGCTGGAGATGAGCTACCACCGCCACCAGATAATACGCTCGTAAGTAATTTATCACTGAGCAATTGACTGATAAGACCACGTTTCTACGCAAAAAAGAAATACAGAAATAGATGGAAACAAACACAAAAGAAAAGACTTCACACTACTGATAAATTATCACTAAAAAATGGCACTGACTGACAAGTGAACAAACGTTTGTGGCGTGGATCAAAATAAACACTTTTTTAGTTGTAATTCCTCTTTGGCTGTAAAAAAGCTTTTTCAGTTTTTGCAAAAAACTTTTATTTTTCCCTCATACACAGAACAAAAGAGTTAGCCAGAGTAGTTTTTGAGTATTAACAGTTGCTATTAGTGAAAAAACAGTGAAACCGTAATGATCACTGGTTCAAAAAATGATTCAAGATCTAAGTTTGACTAATAGTATGTTTTTCAAACTGATGAGAATCCTATTCGTTTTAATCATACACTTCAAATCAGCAGCAAATACTTGCGAGAAATATCTAACGCGAAATCGTCGCCTGCCTATCTACAATAAGTATTTTTTGACGACAGAATACTGGTTTCTCTAATATTGATAACAAATTGTTGTGCATCTATTGTAACTGAAATAGGGATTTTTTCGCTGGGAGAAATCTTGTTAACTAAGATTTTTCATGGCCGAATAAATCAGATCATTTTTCATAATTCTACTTACATTTCTCACGCTGTTTTGTGTAGCAATCGTTAGTAAGCTAAACAATGCTAGATGAACCAAATATCTTGACCACATTGTTGAAAATTCAGGTGATGATTTCCACGTACGTTGAAAGAAAGTATAATATAACTGATACTTTTTTGTGCAGATGGTTGTTATAAATCAGAAAAAACAAATGAAGTGTGTATATATACAGACGCAGTCTATGAAAGATAGATGATAGATATTAGACACTTAGCGTATATCGCATCTTCTTTTATTCCATTTTCTTGATCTATTTAGTTATCGATACAGCAGAAATTCATTGTTCTAAACGGCTATCCACTAAGGATGACTCATCTTCCTCTAAAATAAGAATTTTTCTACTTTCATTCTTTTTTTCGTTCTTTCGTTGACCACATGCGCTACATGTGAATATAACGTTAAAACAATGAATTTTTGGTATATCGATGATTAAATGGATGAAGAAGATAATAAAAGAAGACGATGCTAGATGTCTGTTATATTGTAGTGTAGAGAAAAGTCGAACTAGACATCACCTATTTTTTTCTTTTTTTCTATATGATAGGCCGTTAACTCGGCCGAAGATGTAAATCATCATCGTCGATGATCTTAGAGATGGATTGTGTTTTTTCAACATCATCAGTGCAAATAGACTATCTAAAGTTATTGATATAGACGATCAACGACGGCTGTACAACCGTACCTACTGAGTCATTTCAAAACATAGTGTCATCGCTCATGTCGCGAAAACTAAAAATCATGCCAAAAAAATGTAAAGCAAGTGGTGTAACGCAAAAAATGGTTACAATGGTGAATTTA